CCCTCCTTCCCGCCTTCCCTCTGAGATTTGTTAGTCTGTTCCATGCTTCTATGTCTCTGGATCTGTTTTGTTCATTGGTTTATTTTGTTCATTAGATTCCACATATGAGTAAGATCATGTGATTCTTATCTTTCTAATTTGGGAATTTTAAAGCTGGACTAGATTCTTCTACCTATTGGGAGAAATCACAACCTTTACTACCTATGGTCAAGACCCAAATTAGTTTTCAGAAGGGTTGGGAAGGATCCTGTGGAAAGGCTTAAGATAGTTGCTAAACATGCCAGGGCAGATCTCTTCTTTTGCCAGGAATTCTACTTTATCACTTTTCTTTCTCAGAGCTTGTTTGTCAGAAACTAAGCCGACCTTGGATCCCATGGTAGAGTCTGTACTGTTTGTACTAAGTATTAAATTACTGTCCTGGGTATTACAGTGGTCTGGCCAGTGATGCAGGGAGGAAAGATCCAGATATGTGCTAAAGTTAATAGCAAGACAGCTGTCATGGTCAGGGAGAAAGGCTTGTAGTTGTTAAGGTATAAGAGCCAGGGTCTGATTCAGGACTTTGCACAAGAACATCAAGCACCAGGGCCAGGGCCTTGTACTGTTTCTGTTCATTGTATGGAGACCCCAGTGTTAGTGCAGGTACATGGGCTAAAAGAAGTAGGAGGGAAAGCAGAGAAAGCCTTCATTCTTCTGTCTCTACGCATATTCTTTCCATCCCTGGCTAAGCTTCAAGACACCAGAAGTTACGACAGGTTTGTGATAAACATTAGAGAGTTCAGAGTCATAACTTTCGGTATCGTGAACATCCTTATATGCACACATGTATTGCTTATTGCCTAAATATTAATAGCAGACATGGTTTCTATGGGCAGATATCATTCTCTCATCTCCCAAACCTTCCCTGACTCCCTAATACATACACATTCCCCTACTAACTCATACTTTCCCAGAAGTCATGCTTTCAGTAGTTAATAAAACCAAAGCTGACTTTGTATATAGGGAGAAAGAAGTGGTTTGTTTTGAGAAGTGGTATACAAGTCTGACCAAAAACAGTTTTCGCCATTCTCAATGTTGGTTGTTAGAGCAGAGACTTCTAGTCATTGTGATACAAAAAGTTTTTTTAATTATTATTTTTCAAAAAGATATTGATATGCTAAGATAGTGCTCTCCTCAGTTCTGGGGTAACCTCATCTGTTAACTCCAGTTGAGTGTAAAAAATAGAATTTTTTATGTGTGCTTGATGTGGAAAACATTGGGAAATACTGGCTTAAATTGGTCTTTTAGGACATAGGGTCGCAAAGTTCATTTAATATCCCATTAATAAAAGGTTGAGAATTACAGGTTTATTTCCAGTAGTTGGAAGTTACTGGTTTAATAATCCCAATTTATGATGAGTCCACTTTAATGAACATGGGATAGTGCTAGTTTAGAACTCCTGGTTTTGATCATTTTTTATTAAATACCTTATATGTAGGGCACACTTTTCAAAGCTTTTGCATATAATATCACAGTTCTTCCAAATAGCTCTATGAAGTAGGTAGGTCAAATATCCACATTAGACAGATGAGAAAACTGAAGTTTACATTTATCCATGGTTTCCTTCAATTGCAGCAATGTGGCATAAATGCCAATGATGTGAAAAAATTGGAAGAAGCTGGATTCCATACTGTGGAGGCTGTTGCCTATGCACCAAAGAAGGAGCTAATAAATATTAAGGGGATCAGTGAAGCCAAAGCTGATAAAATTCTGGTAAGTACTGCTTACATGACCCAGGGAGGCATTAGAGCAGTAGTACAAAAGGATATACAATAAAAGGTGGTAGTCTTCCTGCTTCCATCCCTTGTTGTGTCATTTTGTTCCCCTTTCAAGGCGTGACTGCATTACTAGTTAATTATCTCTATATGTGACTTCTTGCATAAATTGGGATTTTCTCTAAGGAATTGTAGTATTATGGGTTATGGCATAAACACTGCCAAATAGACTACCAACAGTGAGTGAGTGGTATCTATACCTTATCTTTCTAGATATTATGATTTCATGCCTTAGAAATATTCTTTTTCTTTTTCTTTTTTTTTTACTTTTTAAATTTATCTTTATTGTTGAGAGTATTACAGGTATCCCATTTTCCTCCCCAATTGATCCCCTCCACTTCCCTCCCACCCCCTTCACAGGCCTTCACCCCGTTATTAACTGTGTCCATGGGTTATGCATATAACTTCTTTGGTTAATCTCTTCCCACCCTCC